GCCGAGCCGCCCCGCCCGCAGGGTGCCGGGCCTACCTAGCTTTTGCATGCACGCACGAAGCCTCTCTTCAAGATTGGACACTCTGCTCTGCAGTTCATCGTAGTCATAGGCGCCAATTTCCTCTTGCAGCTCGTTAAGCACTGACGTCAGATTCTGGACCTCCTCTTTAAACTGCAAAACCAATTTGGCATCGGCCTTGTACTCTTCCAACACAGGTATCAAAGGCCTAAGTTCATCCATTTTCGCTTTTATTGCCTGCAAGGTTAAAATAAGCTGGGTTCAGTGCGATGCGTGCAAAAACTTGTCACACCCTGCCTTGGCCTGGCTTCTCCCTAGGCAAGGGAGCTGTGCACACTCCCGCCTTAGTTACAGGTTTATTTATCGTCTGGTCCAAAAGAATTAGAAGATCATATTAAACAGTCTTCAGAACACCATCATATTTGGGAAAGGTCTTTATTGTCAGGTAGAATGCAACATCTTAAGGTTACATGCTTTAAGTCACATACACAAAGTTTCTTTTTTTTTTTTTCTTTTTCAAAAAATGCATTGACAAGGGTTCAAAGTATTCATGAAATGCATCTACAGTCGCATGCAAAAGAGGATCGTGGATGGATTCAAGGTTCCTTAGTGAAATGGTGCTAAGTATTGGAAAAGAATAGTAAAAATGCAGGGTGCAAAAAGCTGTCTGGCCCTCTTTCATGGTTACATGGTTACATGCTTCTTCAGTCACTGCGGCATTGAAAAAACGCTTTTAAGTTAGCCCTGCAAGTAAGAAAATGAAATACCGTTGAAGAGCTACCTCACTAGCCTGCCTTAAACACATAGCCATTCATAGACAAATATTTTCACGGTCACTTAAAAAAAAAAATCACACTTCAGTGCTAGAGTTAGTCCAAACAAACTGCTTTGACACTTACATACATTCCCTCACAACAATTTGTTGCAATTTTAAATGCAATTAAAGCATGGCAAAAGGCAAGGGTTGCTTTTCTTCCCCCAGAGCCACAGTGCCCCAGATTTGGGGACTGGGAGAGATGGCTGTGTGGACAGTGCTTGCAAAGAGGAGCTAGCCCTGGCTGTTGAAGACCCCTCATCTTTAGAGGAATCTGCCTCTACCCCAGAGAAGGGAGTGCTGGCCTTTCAAGGAGAGACACAAACTCTTTATGGTCAGGCAGGTCAAAATCTCTTTCCAGGACAACTCCTGATGACACGGCAGAAGCAAGGACACTATGTCCATCTGCCTCCGACCACTCATTTCTCCTCCACCATGGGATCAGGCCTGCTGCTGTTTTATTTATAATATAGATCTGTAACTTCATTAGCTTGCTATTTCGTCTATAGAATGTACCACTTTTATAAGCAAGTTCCTTCTTGCTTCATGCAGGAGCACATCAAAGGAAAACATTAGCACTGAAAGGACAGAAGTCAGCGTCAGCAATTTCCAGTCAAGCGGGGCTGTGTAATTGACCTGTTCATTTATATCTGGGCTAGAGTTCTAATTAACATGCATGTCTACCTTAATTAAGGTGCACATAATTTCTCAATTTAATAATTTTGAAGCTGCGTTCACTCTAGATGTATATATACATATTCATACATATGTATATATAATTTTAGGTCAAACTCCGGCTTTAAGGTCCAGAGTTAGGAACACTTACCACAAAGTGAGAAAGATGTTGGTGTCTCTCTCTTTCTTCCCTGTGACTCTACAGTGAGCTGTGTCATAGCTAAATTAGGTCAGACGTGAAAAATTGCCCTGAGTGATCCCTGCTCAGAAATGGCTCTAATCAATTAAGCTAATCCTCGGCTAATGTGGTTTACCTGCAGCAGCTGTTGAACGACAGGGACCGATGATGTCCCTTCCCAGCTAATCTGTGACTTGGCTCGAGAAGCTCAGAACCCGGAACCCCTGGCCTCAGAAGCTAATAGGTGCTGGGAACCTCGGCCCAGGCCTCCCCCTTTCAGGGCAAGAGCAGGTTGCCCCTGTGTCCAAGGACAGCAAGGAGCAAGCCTTGCTGGGCTCGCACCCCACTCCACCCCCGCCCTGTCTCCTAATTGCTATTTCTAGAGGGAAAGGAAAGCCTGGAGGGAAACAAACCCAGTCTTGGAGGAGCAGAAACACACATACCTTGAACTGCCTGGCCAGATGTTGCTTATGACTCTCCTCCACCTGTTTGAACTTGGACTCCAGTCCTTTCATCTGGTTCTCCATCTTCTCCACATATTGCAAGTCCCTCTGAGTCCGCCGGTCCAGGACCTCTATGGATTGGGACATGTTTTGCACCTGTCAAAAAGGCAATAGGTTCAAGGAAGGAGCTGTGGCAGGTGCCAGCCAATCTTATCCTAATACGTGACAGTGACCTTTCCACATGGCCGACACGCTGGGAACCAGAAGCGGCCGATGCATTATTTACTAGCTAATCACCAGCTTTGGGGATTGTTAGGGCCAAGCGCTCCCCAAACGCAGCAAATTTGTCTCGTAAACATTCCCTCTGCCATCTTCCAGAGCGCGCTCTTACAGCCGGGGTGCAAAGCAGGCCAGGGGCCCCGGGTCCCCATGGGCCACGGCTCTGGGCTTGTGGCTTTGGGTGAGTTTTCCCTTCTTTTTTGGGGAGTGGCTCCTACTCTCTTTACTCAGCAGGATGAAACCAGTTAGGCAGACATAAGCGCCCGCGAAGAGGAACGGCACATGGGGCTTCCCTCACCCAGGCACAGCTTCTCTTGCCCCTTAAATCTCACTGGGTGTCTCCCCGAGAAGGTGGCCGCGAGCGTGCGCAACGAAGGAACAAGAGGCGGCTCTGCCCGATCTGGCATCGGGCCTCCCTCCCCCGCCTCGCAGGCCATCCATCACCCCCAACAATATCATAGGTAGATGACTGCTCTGCAAACATGTACACTCGGGGCCCAGAGTCAGGCATCAATCACCCAGAAAATGAAGGATCGTGTTTTACACCCTTACGGGCAGGTCTGAATTGAGTCTTGCCTCAAGATGGAACTTTAATATTCAACAGGGTTTCAGGGAGCTTACAAGAAAAACAGTTTTAGCACAGCCAGCTGCCAGTGCTTTTTATTTTCAGGAAACTGGCTTGCGATTCTGTGCAAATGCATTTGGGGCGGTGGCACGAGGCTCAGGATTGTCGCAGTGGCGTCGGAGTGCTGGCTCAGAATCGAGTCCAATCGCGAGGGAGGACGGTGCCTCCATAACCACAAATCTTCATTTCTGAGTTTCTGCTGATTTTCAAAATACTCTCCCTTTTAGGAACAAAATCATTTTGGTAGGAGGCTCAGCTTCGCTTGGTCAGTGAAAAGAAGAGACGATAGCATGGTTTTTACACCTTACTGTACCGCTCTCCCAAATAAAATAAAATAAAAAATAAAATAAATCAGCAAAAGGCTTCTCAGTAGGAAAAGACTGGCCTTGTTAATCTTGACATTTAAAAATGCCAGGAATTTTATGACATTATTTGAAAGCACCACACACAAACTGTTGAAAAATTCCAGTTGGTAGAATACAACATGTGGGTGACTTTGACTCTCTCCAATGCTTTCTCTTTGGATGTTTTATGGGAACTAAAATACATGCGCTCTATCTTCTAAAGTTTCCCTGACCCCCTCACCCGTCTTATTCTGTCACTTTGAATAACTGCAGCACCTCTTTTGAGAAAAGTTGCAATGTTTGGTTTCCTTCACCTTTCAAGGCTCAGCCCAAATGGCACCTCCTCCAGGAAGGCCTCCTTGGTGAGCTAAGCCAGAAGTGGCTGTATATGACTTGGAAACATCACCTTGTTGGCACAATGCCTGCACAGCAGTAACCTGTACACCTGTCTCAACCACCTTGTTGGACAGGAGACTCATGGAGGGAGGGGGACTGGGCCCCCTTCACACCTGTAACCCCAGCACAGGATTCAGCCGCATGTCGCACAGGAGTACCCCTGCAGCCATGTGGCTGGGAGGAAGGGACACAAAAGGTGGTACCAGTCAAGACCCCACCCCCCAGCCCAGGGGATAAGATTCCTGATTAAAGGCCGCAGGCTACAATTTGCTGAGCCAACAGGGTGGCTTTGGTCTGATCCTCTAACTGGGGGCTGCACACAGCACAATGGGCTTTTCATTTGCCAAAGAAGCAATGCTTTTAACAAATTAAAAATTTTAAATACTAAGTTTTAAATTTAGAAAACACATTTTAAAGACTCCAAGCTACTCAGCTGCCTTACAACAAAATACACAACCTCCTGGCCTACAGCTCTTCCCCTTGCTGGCCAACTGCAAAGATGACTGGGCCTGAGGTTACAGCCGTGGGATTCTCTCAGGGGAGAAGGTGGAGGTCTGTCGCCCCTTCTCTGAGCGCATCCATTCTCCTCTTACCTGTGGGCGGGTGTGTGTGTGGGTGGGTGTGTGTGCAGGCACACCGGGCCTTGAGGGAGTAACTAACTGCTAATATTTATGGAACAGTTTCAATGTTCCTGGCACGGTGTTGAGCCCGTCATGTTACTTATCTCACTGTGGGAGGTGGACGCTATTTCGAGTCTTATTTCATACCAGGGCTCAGAGACGTTAAGAAACTTGTCTGCCCTCACACAACAGCAGTCAGCCACGATTCAAAGCCTGGCCTGACTCCCAAGCCCACACTTTCAAACTCAGAGCTGTGTGTCTTTAGAGAGCACAGAGCACAGGCCCCAGCCCGCCGGCTGCACTCTGAGGGTCCCCAGTGGTCCTCAACCCTGACCCCAGGTGCCTCCCAGGGACTCCAGGCCAGTGAAAATCAGCGCTTCTGGGTGTGGGGCCCAGGCTCTGCATGGGATGCTCGCAGGTGGAGTGTAACATGGAGCCATCACGCAGAAGTGGAACCAGATGGGATGTGCCCAGCCCCAGTGACAGAGCACGGGGTCAGACAGTGCTGGGGCCCTCCCCCCTGCTCCTGCCCTGTCCAGCCTCACCCTGCCCTGGCCCCTCAGTAAGAAAAGAGGGGAGACAGGGAGCGAAGGGGGTGATTGCCCTGCCCCTTCCTCATGCAGAATGAACTGGGCAGTGAGGCCCCTACAGCAAATGGCTTCTGTGCTCTGAAAGCAGTGCCCACAGGGTATAAACAGGGTTATACATTTTTAAGCAGTAATGCCATGGCCTATAAGCAGGCAGAAAGGAGAGCTCTAAGGGCTGCAGTCCCAGGGCTCCTAGAGCTTTCTAGAACCCTTGCTGGCTTTCTGTCACCTCCTGGGAGCTGGAGGTCCTGGTGTCAGCACCCAGCCCTGCCCCTGGCAGTCCCCAAGGCCCCTCCAAGCTCCACCTCTCTCCTCTACAGTTCTGAATAATTAAAGGCTCAATTAGGCTTTGGTCTAGTTTGGTGTTAATAAATGTCTGTGGAATCTGGTAAGCGCGTTTTGCTTTCATTCTTTTTAAATGACTTACTCAGTGGCTAAAGAACATAGAACACTCTGTCCTTTTAAGGGGAGCAGGCTCCAGGGACAAGCTGCTGCCCAGCCTCCACCCTGCTGGCCTGACCTGGCCTCCCCTCTGCCCGCCACTCCTACCTGAGGAAACAAGGTCCCTCCCATGCCCTCCTGATGGCCAGTGATGAGACGGTCTGGGAAACGGGGTCCAAGAGAGGGACCTGCTCTGCCTGCTGCTGTGCAAGGGTTTGTGGGTGAGCTGGGCTTGACCCGGGCCTCCTGCAGGCTGCTGTGGCCTTTCCGGGGGAGGGAGCACTGGGAGGGGCCATCCTCCCAGCACAGGACCCCATCCCCCGAAGGTTCCTCTCTTGTCCCCTAACTGAGGGAAAAGCCACGGCTCTACTGCTGTGTGGGTGTGGGTGTATATGTGCGGTGTATGTGGGGTGTGTGTATGTGTTTGTGTGTATGTGAGGCGGGTGTATTTGTGTATGCAGTGTGTGTGGTGTGTGTATGTGTTTGTGTGTAGGTGTGATGTGCGTATCTGTGTGTGGTGTTTGGTGTGTGGGATGTGTGTATCTGTGTGTGGTGTGCGGTGTGGCCCCACTCTCTCAGGGTGTGAAGGGACGCCTCTCCTTGGGGAGGGCGATGAGTGGAACAGAAGGGCCTACCCACTTCTTCCCTCGGTAACTCCCAGGGGACCCTGACACTCAGGCTCTCCGAGAATCCAGGGTTCTTGGGGTGGGATGTGCCAGGAGCCCAGTGGGCCGTGCCACCAGGAGCAGCGACCTCTGTGGGGCAGAGGCTGCCAGGCCAGGTGGGCTGCTTGCACCTGGAGTGTGAGTGCCAGCCCTCGGCTAATTGGCTGTTTGTGTGGGATGAGTGAGTGTGCCCCTCTCTGGACCCAAATTTCCACTTCTTGAAAAAGCGTGAAAAATCTCATCAATTCACATGGTTCTTGTGAAGATTGAAAATGGGTTGGGTTGAAAATGTTTCTGCGAACTGCTCAGTGCTGTTCCCGCGTGGGTTACAAAGGTGACGATTTAATCTGCTTGTATACCAGGGACACCTCCACGGTGGCCAGGTCCAACCCTCAAAGGCAGGGAGAAAATCCCCTCAGGGAAAATCCAAGTGGCTGTGCATCTCTGGGTCCCAGGAAGCTGCTGGGGACAGAGCCCTGAGGACTGCAGGTGCGGGGCCTCACTGGGGAGACAGCCGTGTGGAGGAGCAGGCCCTGCAGTGACAGGGTCTATCCATCTCCTCCTGGGCCACCCTTGGGGAGTCTCCATCCATTCATCCATTTGCAAATATTCTCAATGGGGAAGAGCGAGGCCCTGGCGCTGGGACGGACCCCGTAGGCTGGCCACGCCTTGGTATCGGTGAAGGCACACACGCCTGCGCGCACAGATGCACGCACACCCCGCACAGACTCACCTTCTCCAGTAGCTGCCTCAGCTGTTTCGTGCGGGCATCCCGCGAACACATGGTCTGCTGGGGGGCGACCACTGTGCAGATACACCTGCCCTCGCTGTCCTGGGCGGAGCTGTACACCTGCCAGCTCTCCTCAGGGTTGGTGGGCAACACCTGGAGCGGGCGGGGGATGGGGAG